CTGGAAGGACTCTGGGTGACCAAATTCAAGTTTATCCCATAGTTCCTTTGAATTGCTTTGATCTTTGGTCCAAAATGAAGCAGCCAGATTGCTGACTGGGGCTCGTCACAGGGATCACATCCCCCCCCTCCATTAAAGCAACTCCGTGGGCTGCTGATCCGTTTCTGGATACAATTCAAAGTGCTGGTTTTTAACCTGTAAAGCCCTCAACAGCCTGGATCCAAGTTCTCTCAAATACTGTATCTCCCATTATGAGTTGACACGGGTGTTAAGATCATCAGTGGAGGCCTTTTTTCCCCCTCACTCTTGCCACCTTTACAGGTGAGTCTGATGGGGACCCAGGAGAGAGCCTTCTCTGTGGCTGCTCCCAGACTCTGGAACTCACTGCCACTGGACACCAGGCTGGCCCCACCTTTGCTGTCTTTCTGCAAGCAAGCCAAGACTTTTCTCTTCAAGCAAGATTCCCCATAGTGACTGGCTGCCTGAGTGAGTTTTTGTTTAATGGACTGTCCTATCTTCCTGCTTTGAATGGGTTTGGTATTGCTTTTTTTTAGTATAGTATTTCATTGATCCTGTTAAGGATTTGTATACTTTGTGGTTTTAGCTTTAAATATGGTCCTTTACTTATATAAACTGCCTCCTTTTTCAAGGAGAAAGGTGAAGGGGGGAGAAAGATTTTTAAATAAATAAATACCTGCCAGAAGTAAGTGCTGTTGTTTGTATGTGCTTTTCTCCACAAGCAGGTGAAGACTCTTCTCCTTAGGCAGGTTTTTGCCTTAGTGATTAGCAGTCTAGGAGGGATTTTAAATGGAGTGTTATTATTCCTTGTTGCTTTGAATCTGTTTTGTTTACTTTTTTATAATGGTGTTCGTTTGATTCTTTTTTAATATTTAGAATGTGATATTTCCATGACAGAGCATTCTAACCAATAAGAATCAGTCCAGCCTTAACCAACAGAAGCTGGGAAGTTTAACTGTCACATAGATAAGCTGTTACTTGTTAAGTTGTTAGTTGTCTGTTAGAACGAAGGTCTGTTAATCTGGAAGTTATGTTAGTTAGAAAGGTATATTAGCAATGATGTTTGTCAAGTTTGAAAACAATATACCCGTATTTGCCAGCGTATAAGATTACTGGGCGTATACGACTACCCCCCAACATTTCCACTCAAAATATAGAGTTTGTTATATACTCGCCGTATAAGACTACTCCCTCTTCCGCATACCTTCCACACACCAAATAAAAAGTGCTATTCATTGTCACCATTGTACGGCCGCAGCGCAACCGCAGCGGCTCCAGCCCGCCCCTGCATCTCCCTGTGACTGGCACTAGTGCGCATGTGGGAGCTCTGTGTAGACAAGGGCGGGCCGGAGCGCTGCTGCTTCCCGCCCAGTAGAACGGGCCAGTCACGTCAAAAAGACTGGCACCCCGTCTCGCTGCCGATGCTCGCCGCGGCCGCGCTGGATACCGCGCGATACTGGATGGTATGTAGAGTGAGGTGGGCAGGCATTGGGATGCTACTATGGGCACCAGGCGAGCATCGAAAGGCCACTATGGGCAGCTGTGTCTATCCCAACTGAAGTGCACCCGACGTATAAGACGACCCCCCCCCACTTGGAGGCATGTTTTTCAGGGCAAAAAAGTAGTCTTATATACCAGCAAATACCAGCAAATAAGTCAAGCACAGTTCTGTGTATAAGGTACCAAATGTAAAAGCACAGTTTACTCTATTGTACATGTTATACACTAAAAGTTCTTTAACCAAGAGTAAGTGATCATTTATTTTCAATTACTGGCACACACACAAAAGGGGGAATAGAATTGTAGTCTATGTCTGTTTTTACTTAACACCTTAAGCTGCGGCGCACGAACTCTCATATACAATTTTAACACTTTTCATGGTAGTCTTACTCTTTCCCCTTTCTTCTTCTGGAGATTTACCTGGCATAATCTCAACTGGAATGGTTCCTGGATGGACATCCATCCATTCATTGATTCATTCATTCATTGTGGTTGGCACACAATTGTATGGCAAAGGGTTGCTGAGGGCAGAGGTGGGAGGGAGGTCAAAACATGGTGCAGGGATGCGGGTTTGGCACACAATTGTATGGCAAAGAGTTGCTGAGGGCAGAGGTGGGGGGGAGGTCAAAACATGGTGCAGGGATGCGGACTCCACAAAAGGGAAGGCTTGTGCTGAGAGAGATGGAGTTTTATTTTGTTTTGTTTTATTAAAAATATTTAAATGCAACCTTCCTCCTACAGCCGTGGCCTTGGGCCTCCAGATGTTCTTGGACTAGAACTCCCGGAAGCTTTCGCCCTGAGCACTGCTGGCCAGGATTTCTGGGATTTGCAGTGCCCTGAGCTCTGCTAATTTCTGGGATTTGCAGTCCAAGAACACTTGGGTGACCCAAGGTTGGGAACCACTATCCTACAGGATCCCCCAAGCGTGGTTTTCAATTGTCAACTAGAAACACACTTTGGTTCTCCTCTGGCTTCTTAAAAGCCCTCCTCTGGTCTTGAAGTTCTTCCTGAGCCTTGCTCTTTCTGCCTTTCCTCCAGAGAGAAGACGGCCTGTTCTTTTCCATTCCTTTAGCTCTTTTGAAGGCATTGCACGCTGGAGGTGAAAGCCGAAGGGCGTGCTGGTTGCTGTGACATGGAGGCGTGGAGCTGTGGGGAAATCCTGGCAAGAACTGCGCAGGGGACTGTGGAGGGGGACATCTGGGGCTCAAATGTCCAGCCTCATGCCTTTAGGGAATTCAGCTACCAGGAGGAGGAAGGGCCTCGGGCGGCTTGTAGCCAACTCCATCTTCTCTGCCGTCAGTGGCTGAAGCCAGAAAAACACACCAAGGCTGAGATGCTGGACCTGGTCATCCTCGAACAGTTCCTGACCATCCTCCCATCAGACATGGGGGTCTGGGTCAGAGAGTGCAAGCCGGAATCCACTTCCCAGGCCGTGTCCCTGGCGGAAGGTTTCCTCCTGAGCCAGAGAGTGGAGAAGGAGGAGGAAGAGGAAATGGTGAGAATTCTTAGTTTTGTTCACCCTGAGGGGCTAAGAATAAGCCCGCCCTTTTTTTGTAAATCATACAACGGAAGCATCTCCTATGTAGCTTCTCAAATCTGGTGCCCTTCCCTCTGCTGCAGGATAGCTCAGTGGTTTAGATCTCTGGCTGTGGAACCAGAGGTCATGGGTTCGGTTCCGCCCTGTGCTTCCTCAACAGGGGCTGGACCCAATGATCCATAGGGTCCCTTCCAGCTCTACAGCTGTCTGTTGATAATGATGATGTCTGTTACTTTTTAAGAGTTCATCCTGCAGTTGTGTCCTCTTTATTTATTTATTAAACTTATACCCCGTCCATCGACTGGGTGAGTCAGTAATCTTGGGGGGGGGGCAGTAAAAGAAATGAACACAGATACATGGAAAAAGCAATTAAAACAATTTATGTAGGCATCCTTCAGTTTCGAGAGACGATGGCACGGAAAAAGCAATTAAAGCAATTTATGTAGGCATCCTTCTGTCTCGAGAGACGATGGTAACGTGCTCTGTATGGAGGACTTGGAACAGCATCTAGTGTGGCTGAGGAGGCCAATTTGAGAGGGACCATCCCTTCCACACTGAAGACAAATACAATCTGTCCCCTGTCCAGCTCCCTGGTTTTGCTGGTTTCGGGACTGCCTCTTTGCCTCGGCTTAAAACAATAAGCATACCCAAAACCTCCAGGGTCTAACTAATGTCAAATGACTCATGAGACGTTGTAACAAAGAACAGCTGATGCAGTACTAAACAGTAGAGCGTCAACTGAGGGCCTTCACAAAATAATCTAGGAATTAGGTTAAGCAGGACTGAGGCTTTCAAAGGCCTGGGAGGAGACCCAGGTTTTCATTTGCTTCCTGAAGCCAAGGAGGGTGTGGGCCTGACACGTCTCCGCTGGAAGAGAAGTCAAGAACAAGGCAGCCACCCCCAAGAATGGCCTGTTTCAGTTTGACAGCTTCCAGGCCTCCCTTGGGAGGGGCCACTCATAACATCAGTGTTTGGAAGGGGCAGGTGGAACGGGAGATCAGTGTGAGGGAAAGGTGCTCTGCTGGGTAGCACCTTGAATTTGGCCCGGAAGCGCATGGGCGGCCAGTGCAAACGGGGCCAAGGCAGGCATGATCTGATCAGGCTTCGAGGCCTCTGTGACCAGCCTAGCAGCCACATTTTGCCCTTGCTGCGGCTTCTGCACCGCCTTCAAGGGCAGCCCCATGTAGAGCACATTGCAACAGTCAAGCCTGGGAGTCAACATTTTTGTTTTGAATGCAGGAGTCTTCAGAATGGGTCACTGGCTTCCTTCATGCCATGGATGCCCCTTCAGGTCCAAGACAGACACCTCTGCTTCTAGGAGCAAGGACCTGCCTTGCTGGGTGAGGAACTGGCCAGCATGGTTCTCCTGAGTCTCTCTCTCTCTCTCTGTCTCTGTCCTGTATCTTTCACATGTCAGGGAACTGCATTTGCACTCCTCTGCATCCATGTAGATGTTTAAGTGTGAGCGAATGACGACGGGGTAGAAGACCTTCCTCCGGTCAAGTTAGGGACAAAATGCATATGAAAAGTAAATGTCTCCCTTTTGTCTTGTTCCAATCCCCTTCTTCTCCCTTGCAGGCATCCAGAATGTGCTGAGAACCCAGCCTTCTTCAGCTCTTTTTTGTGAAGGAACGGAAGCAACGTCGACACGACTGGACCAGGTGGGGAGGGCGAAATGTATGGGGAGGTGGAGAGAGAGGCAGCCTTGATGCTTCTCCCCATTCTGCACCCGGACCATCTAAAAAATAAATACAGTGGTGCCTCGCTTAACGAGCGCACCATTTAACGACAAATCCGCATAGTGATGCATTTTTTGCAATCGCTAATGCAATCGCATTGCGATATTTTAGGTGGCAAAACATCGCATTGCGATGATCGGTAAGCTTATCGGTGGTTCCAAAATGGCCGCCGGATCAACAAAATGGCCGCCCGCAGCGTTTTCGCGCCGATTCCTCGCTTACCGAGGCGGCAAAAATGGCGGCCCTATGGAGGAATCCCGCTTAGCGGTGAGTTTTTCCCCAATAGGAACACATTAAACTGAGTTTAATGCGTTCCTATGGGTTCCCCCCCCCCCGCATAGCATCGAATCCGGATAGCGACATTAATCCTGGAACGTCACTATGCGGGGCACCACTGTAAATTACCCCCTTCTCTTTTATGTGAACTAAAGGCAAAGTCAGTCAAGGGTTCAACATACACACTCATCCTGTTCGCCGAAGTCTCTTCTCAAGTATACTCGGTAGGGGTTGGATGCTTATCTTTGTCCAAAGATGAAATGTTTCTTTTTCTTTCAGGATCTGGTAACCTTCCAAGACGTGGCTGTGTCTTTCTCTGAGGAGGAGTGGGCGCTGCTGGATCCAGGCCAAAGAGATCTCCACAGGGAAGTCATGGAGGAGAATTTGGTCCACCTGGTGTCTCTGGGTATGCTTTCCTTTGACTTTTCTCTTTCATAGTAGCAGTTCCCAAAGAGGCGGTTGTGTTAAATTGTTTCGGTAGGACCCAAACCATCGTGCCCTCTGTCGTCCTCTTCTCCTCTTGCCCTCACACTTTCCCTGATGTTGGGGAAGTGTGAGGGCAAGAGGAGAAGCAGACGACAGAAGACGAGATGGCTGGACAGCGTCACCGAAGTGACCAACATGAATTTGACCCAACTCCAGGAGGGCCTGGCGTGCTCTGGTCCATGGGGTCACGAAGAGTTGGACACAGCTAAATGACTAAACAACAAAAGGACCCAAAAATTAGTAGGCAAACAAATAAAAGTGGAAAGGTTTTGTCCCCTTTAAGGCTGCCCATCTCAGTGCGACCTTCGGAGGATTACGTTCCTCAGTGACCATGTTTGTGAAGCTCCTTTGTTGAAGGACTTCTTCCCATATTTGTCATTTTAAACACAGTTGTGTTTGTCAGTTTGCTTTCATGCCTAATTTTTGCTCTCTCTGTTTATTGAATCAACACAAAAGCAGTAACAACATAGACCACAGGCTCTCTTATAAGAGGTTTTGTTCCACAGAGGTCAAAGATCTTCTGGAGGTCTCCATTGGTCTGTGTTGGTTTACTGTTATGTGGTTTTCTTCTCTGATTTTGTGGGGTTTTAGTAAGGCCCGGTTTTTAAACATTTCTGCCGTTTTAGTTCCTGATATAAGGGAGAGCAGGTGTGAGGAAAATTTATTGATTTATTTTATCGGACTTCTCTCCCGCCCATCTAGACCAAAGGTCTACTCTGCTTCAAGTATGGTCAGGAACAGTCGGTGTGAAGGAAGAGAAACAGAGGAAGAAAATTGAATCGGGAAGCATCCATGAAATCCCACTGCGAAAAGGGGTGGCCCAAAGCAGCAGAAGTAGTACGTGTTCAGTGTGTGGGAAAAATCTCCTCAGCAAAGCTGGTATAAATGCTCACTGGACAAATCACAGGGGAAAGAAACAACTTATGTGTTCAGAATGTGACAAAGGTCGGGGTGACCATTCATGCCACGGGCCCTGTGTGAGAATCCATGGAGAAGCAAAACCGTTTAGGTGCTCAGCCTGTGGGAAGTGTTTTGCTCGGAGCACAAGTCTCTGTTCTCACATGCGAGTCCACACCGGGGAGAAACCGTTCGAATGCACGGAATGTGGGAAGTGTTTCGGTCAGAGCCGATACCTCAATTCCCACATGAGAATCCACACAGGAGAGAAACCCTTTAAATGTTTGGAGTGTGGGAAGAGCTTCAGTCAGAGCACAAACCTTGCTTCCCATGTGAGAATCCACACTGGGGAGAAACCCTTTAAATGCCTGGAATGTGGGAAGAGCTTCAGTCTCAGGGGTAGCTTGAGTTCTCATCAACGAATCCACTCAGGAGAGAAACCGTTTACCTGTTTGGAGTGCGGGCGGACCTTCAGGCACAATTCAAACCTTACTTCTCACCTCAAGACCCACACGGGGGAGAAGCCATTTAAATGTTCCGAATGTGGAAAAGGTTTCAGTCAGAGTGGAAGCCTTATTTCCCATATTAGAATTCACAAAGATGAGAAACTGTTTAGATGTTTGGAGTGTGGAAAGACCTTCAACCATGTTGCAAACCTTACTGTTCATCAGAGGATTCACACTGGGGAGAAGCCATTTAAATGCCTCGAATGCGGAAAGAGCTTCAGGCACAGGGAAAGCCTCATTTGCCATCAGCGAATTGACACGGGTGAGAAACCATTTAAATGTTCCGAGTGCGGGAAGAATTTCAGCCACAGCACACACCTGGCATCCCACATGAGAATCCACACAGGAGATAAACCTTTTAAATGCTCTGAATGTGGGAAGACCTTCCGCCACACAGCGAACCTTTCTTACCACCAAAAAATGCATAAAGGGGAAAAGCCATTTCAATGTGTGGTCTGTGGGAAGTCCTTCATTCGAAGCACATACCTCGTTCACCACATGAGAACGCACACTGGAGAGAAACCGTTTACTTGTTTGGAGTGTGGAAAGCACTTTGGCCGGAGCACAACACTTAACAACCACATGAGAACCCACACCAGGGAGAAACCCTTTACATGCCTGGAGTGTGGGAAAACCTTTGGCATTAGAGCACAATTTACTTTTCACCAAAAAGACGCACACAGAGATGAAGAAGCTGTTTAAGTGCTCCCAGTGTCACAAGTCCTTCAGGAAGAGCACAGACCTGACGTCCCATCAGCGAATCCATACAGGTGTGAATTTTGCAAAGATTTCTCCACAACCTATAATCTAATAAATAATAACCATGTCCCCTCAGGTCAATTCAGACTTATGGCGACCCTTTTCAGGGTTTTCCAACTAGAAAATGGTTTCCCCTTCCCTTCTTCTGGGGAGTCATTGTTCCCGGAAGCTGCTCGGTGTGGTAATTTTTTATCTTTCTTTCCTTCCTTCCTTTCTCTCTTTCCTTCTTTGGAAGCTGCTCGGTGTGGTAATTTTTTTCTTTTTTTCCTCCCTTCCTTTCTCTCTTTCCTTCTTTTCTGTTTCTGCAAAGGAGTATCTGGGGGGAGGGTTGTGGGCCAGAAAAATAGCTTGGGGGATGGGAGTTCATTCAGCCCCGGTCCTGCTTTATTTTTCTTCCCACAACCCTAAACCACACCGACGTGTCATCTGTGAAGCACAGAAAGCTAGCATGCACATACACCCTTAATGGGATGGGACCCTGGGGATGAAATGGAGAGATTGTTGAGTCCTTTTGCCCTGGCGTCCTCAAAGTGTCTCTTTTGAGTACCTGGCGAACTGTCCGACTGTCAGCCTAATTATTGGTTTTATTCTTGTGTTCTTCCAGGGCACATAACTTATCTTCCTCCAGGTTGGTATGGCTCATGTCCAGTTGGACCTCTGAGGGACTGATCAGATTTATTTGTTCCTTTTAAATATTTCTATTCTTAATTTAATTTAATTTTTTTAGCTTTAACTACTGGCGTTCAATTATGTATGCCACCTTTGTTTACTCATTGCTTTGTCCTTAATGTTCTAAGCCCCCTTGGGTCCTTTTCTAAGGAGAAAGGCGGGGCAAAAATATTTTAAATAAATATATAATTATTAGTTATTTCACTAGAGTAGGACATCCTTATCGGTGGGATCAGTTTCCGCTGATTCGCTTATCCATGGTCTGAAAATATTAAAAACATTAAAAGAAAAATCCTAGAAATACTGTATATACTCTGAAGGTGAACTTACCAGAACTGGCCACTAGAGGGAACCAGAGACCATGCTAGTGGAAGCTACTGCTGGATGTTTGCGTTTTAGTACAGTGGGGTCTCTACTTAAGAACGTCCCTACATAAGAACAATCCAACTTATGAACAGCTCCATTTGCTAAATTTTGCTTCTACTTGAGAACAGAAATCCAAGATAAGAACAGGAAAAAAAAACCTTTCCTGCTCTTTTTTTAACCTTAGGTCATCTTAGGTTAAAAAAAAATTCTCCCCCTAGTGGTAGAGTACGTATTAACCAGCTTTGCATTAGTTTCTATGGGAACTAATCCTTCAATGCACGAACGCACCTCTACATAACAAAAAAACAGCCAGAACAGATTAATTGGTTTTCAGTCCATTCCTATGGGAAATTTTGCTTCAACTTAAGAACGTTTCAACTTAAGAACACCATTCCAAAATGGATTAAGTTCTTAAGTAGAGGTTCCACTGTAGTTTCTATGGACGGAAAAGAGCAGATACGGATTAAATGGTTTTCAATGCATTCCTATGGGAAATGCAGATTCAACATAAGAACTTTTCAACTTGAGAACCACCTTCCAATACGGATTAAGTTCTTAAGTAGAGACCCCACTGTAGTGTAAACTGGCCTCATGGCTTCTACATTTATACAGTAGGACCCCTATATCTGTGGGAGATTGGTTCCAATCCCCCCCGGTGGATGCTGACAATTGAAGATAATAGCAAATGCTATACATAGCATGGTAAAAAGGAAAAAAAAAGAAATATGTATTTTCACCATGTATTACCAGAAAAAATACATAGTGTGGTCTCCGGCTCCCTCTAGTGGCCACTTCTGGGAAATACATTGTGGAAATGCATATTTCTGGATGTTTCCTCCCCCCTTTTAATATTTTCAGATTGCAGATAAATGAAACTGGACACCAATCCTGTGAATATGGGGGTCCCACGGTATTGTGTAAAGGGTCACATGGCTCTCTCTGTTGTTTTGGGGGGATAGAATAGGGAGTGGCCCAAGAGGCTCAGATAGCTTGTCCCACCCTGAGTCCTTGCTTCCCACGTAGGATGGTTGTTTCTGTTTCAGATGCCGAGGCAGCTATTTCTGGAGGCCTTTCCTGATTCTCTCAAGTCACGGCCCTTTCAAACTTTCTGATGTAGATCAACGTGGACAATAGAGCACTTCCGTATTTTGCTCCACAGTTCAGGGAACAGTGGCAGGGGGTTCTTGCTTCACGGTGCCTGTTGCATCAGCTCCCTGCCTCAACGCTGGAAGTCTCTAGGCTAGAATATATATATATATATTTTTATGGGGGTTGTGAAATTTGATCAGAGGGAAATCTCAGTGTAAAAATATGCAGGCAATAAAGGCAAGAATGCAAATGTCTGCATATTCATGTACACAGATTTCAGAAGAAAGAAGTCTGTTCACAAATTTAATTTGGACCTTTTTTTTTCCAATTCCAGAACAGCATTTCCCATGGATTTCCTGCCTTTTTAAAAAAAAAATACCCTTGTTTCCTTAAACCTGAAGTTTTTTTAAAAAAAATCTTTGCATTATTCTCAATAAACACTCTCTTTCCATGAAAGTGGCTTGGTTGCGTAATTTGATTGTCTTACGTTCCTGAGATTCTTTCAGACATTGTTCCTTGTTCTGAATGGTAATTCATGTTACAGTATTTCTGGCTTCAACACTATTTTGCGCAATAACCCTGTTTGATACCCTCTCATCCAAACCATTCATTAAAATGTTGAAGCAGCACCGGGCCCAGGCCTGCGCCTCAAGGTACCTCACTTGTTACCTTTTTCCCAGTTTGAAGAGCCATTGATAAGCACTTAGTAAAATTCTGTGGCCAACTGTGAATCCACCTGACACTTATTCTATCCATCCCATACCTAGTTATCTTGCTAATCAGGATATCACGGGGCACCTTGTCAAAGGCTTTGCTGAAGTCAAGATATATTACATCTAGAGCATTCCCACCATCTACTAGGGAGGCTACCCGATCAAAATATAGATAGATCTAGCAGGATTTTTGACAAATCCATGTTGACTTCTACTTATTGATCAAAAAATAGATATAAAATTAATCTAGCAGGATTTTTGACAAATCCGTGTTGGCTTCTAGTTAATATTGCATTGTTTTCAAGGTGCTTGCAGAGCAACCGCTTTAGAATTTGTTCCAGAATTTTCACTGGGGTTGATGTCAGGCTGACTGGTCCGTACAGTAGTTCCCAGGTTTCACTTTTTTGAAAACAGGGACAACATTGCTGTCTTAGGTCCTTCCAGGGAGAAAGGTGGGATAGAAATATTTTAAATAAACATCCCTGGGACTTCACCTGTTCTCCATAGTTTCAAGAGCATAATACATTTCCTTAAATCTGATGTCATTTATTTTTTGCATTATTCTCAACAAACACTTCATTTGAGTTGGTGCAGCTTGGTTGCATGGTGTGATTTTGTCTCCGTCTTCCTGAGATTCTTTCCTCGTTCTGAGCAGTAATTCCTTTTGCTCCGACTCCACAGAATCACAACTGAGGAGTGGTTGAGTGTGGTCAGGTGTGGGATGTCACATGGGTTTCAGCCACCTAGCCTTTTTGAGGAAGGGGAGGAATTTAATATTTGATGGGGTTATGGAAAAACACATGGAAACAGAGGAGGAGAGAGAAGGTAGGAATGAGCTGCAGGAGAACCCAATGCCCATTCTTTCAGCCAGGTAGTGCCTGCTTGGGGAATAATTATTCCTCCCAGTGTTGGGGAATGAGATGCAGGAAAACCCATTCTTTCAGCCAGGTAGTGCCTACTTGGGGAATAATTATTCCTCCCAGTGTTGGTGGTTTTCCGCCCATCATCCTTTGCTGTTGGTTTGGCTTTGATGGCAGTTGCCAATCAAACACAGAACACGTTGAAAAACCAGAACATGTAGTTGTCTAAAAATATTTCCCAAAACAGAGAGTGACACAGTGGTTAGACTGCACGATTGCAGTGAAGACTCTGCTCACAACCTGAGTTTGACCCCAACAGGCTCAGTTAGCTGGCTTGAGGCTGACTCAGCCTTCCGTCCTTCTGAGGGTCCATAAAAGGAGTACCCGGCTCATTGGCGGTTGTGTGCAAAGTGTTCTTTGCATAACTGTCTTGCAAACTGCGCAGAGAGTACTTTAACATTATGGGGTGGTATATAAGTCAAAACGTCAACTACCACTAGATACCTTGGGCTGAAAAAGGAACTTCTTCATTTCTCTTGATTTTATGTTGTCTTCTTTTATTTAGCAAGACCGAAGAGATAGTTGTGGACAGAAATTTTAACGACAACCACCACGATAACTTGGCCTGAAAAAGGACCTTCTTCATTTCTTTTGATTTTATGTTGTCTTCTCTTATTTAGCAAGATTGAAGAGATAGTTGTGGACAGAAATTTTAACAAATTAACCATATTTTAGTGTAGGTGTCACTAAGGAGTTGCATATCTACTCACGCAATCCTGAAGTAGAAGGAAATACTGTACAGGAGTTCCTACATGATCACTGTAGACACATTTCATTTTAACAAAACACAAACATTTCCATTATTGTTGTTTTGAAAGAAATAATCTTAACTGAGATCCAATGATGTGTAGCTGTTGGATCATGACTTGGGAGGTCTGGGTTCAAATCCCTGCTCAGCTCTGTTGGATAATGACTTGGGAGATCTGGGTTCAAATGCCTGCTCAGCTATGGAAACTCATGGAGGACTCCTTCAGTATCTTAATAGGAAAAAGGACTGTAGTGCCAAAATGAAAACATTGTAGTATAAATTTTGTTTACCTTTATATTTTATTACTTTTTTTAGACTTCTAAGCCTCCCATCTCACCAAGTCACTCTGGATGGTGTACAAATGACTTGGGAGATCTGGGTTCAAATGCCTGCTCAGCTATGGAAACTCATGGAGGACTCCTTCAGTATCTTAATAGGAAAAAGGACTGTAGTGCCAAAATGAAAACATTGTAGTATAAATTTTGTTTACCTTTATATTTTATTACTTTTTTTAGACTTCTAAGCCTCCCATCTCACCAAGTCACTCTGGATGGTGTACAACAATAAAACAACTATAAAACATACAGTTCCAATTATACAACAAAGTAAAAGTTAATTTAAAATTCATTGGGTGGCTGTAGCTGTTAAGCATTCAAGTGGAGCTTTTAGGAATAGCATGATTTAGAAAATCTGCCCAAATAGGAAGGTTTTAAAAGACTTTTTAAAATCACCAGGAGAATTTTGGAAGGTGGTTTCTTCCAGAGCAGAGGTGCAACTGCCGAGAAAGCCCAGCTCTTTGTTTTCTCCTCGAGGGCCTCCCCCTTTAAATGACTGATCAAAGTGAAAGAAGAATGTGGCAAAGCAGAACTACAGTTGAACAGCAAAACAAAAGTCCGAGGCCTCTTCAGACTTCTTCAAGGGCTATATCACATAAAACAGAACCGAAAAAAGCATGTTTAAAATAACATTTTTTTTCTAGAGACAATATTCTAAGCATTGTACATAAATAAGAAGCTCTTGGAGGAGATGGGGCTGGATTTAGTAATGTATTGTAGTGTTTTTATTAATTAGAATTGTCTATTTATATTGTTACTGTATTATTTTACTGTTGTTAGCTGCCTAGAGTGGTCCTCACCGACCAGATAGGCGGGGTATAAATTACTGTAAGTAAATAAGTAAATGAGTAAATAAGTAAATTATTATTATTATTATTA